GGTCGGGATTCGGAGAGGTACCTCCCCGCAGGAACCCCACCCCTTCCCACCTCCTCGCCCCACTCCTTCCCACCTCCTCGCCCCACTCCTCTCGCCGCGACCGTAGTCTCTCCATTTCCCCCTCCTGGTGTAGTCCTCCCTCCCGCCTCTCGCGCGCTCCCTCCCCTCGCTTTCATCCTCCTATCCCCACCTCTCCAACCTCCGCTTTCATCCTCCTCCCCTCTCTTCTCCTCCCCGCTCCCGCCTGCCCCACCCCTGGGAAGCCCCTCCCGTCGGGCAGCGCCGCTTTATAAGCGGGTTCCCTGGCCGGGGGCGGCAGCGGCTGGTCGGCGGCAGCTCTGCGGGTGCGGGGGCGGCGAGCCGAGGACCGAGCGACCGCGGCCGGAGCGCGCCGGCCACCGCCCGCACCGCCCTTCCGCCCGCCCTCCGGACGGCCGCAGCCCTGCGGGTCTCCGCTCCAGACCCACCCCCGCCCCACCCCGCGCGCCTCTGCCGCCTCTTCCTGAGCCCCAGCTTGCCGAGCGGCCGCCGCTGCCGCTGTCGCCGCCGCCGCCGCCACCGCGCCAGGTTCCGGCCGCGGCCACCCTCCGCCGTCCAGGGCCCTTCCGTCCCGGCCCCGGGACCCCGACTCCCCGCCAGCTCCGGCCCCGGCCCCGGCACCATGTCGGAGAAGAGCGTGGAGGCAGCGGCCGAGTTGAGCGCCAAGGTACGGGCGGGGCCGGCAGCGGCCCGGCCTCCGCACGCCCCCCGGGCTCCGCGCAGTCGTGCGCCCCAGGCCGCCCCCGACGGCCGCAAGCTGCTTGCCCGGGTGCAGGGTCCCTGTGGACCCCGCTCCGCCCTCCCCCCGCGCCCCAGCCTGGCGCTGCCTGCCCCGCTCCGCGCGGCTCGCGCCAGCGCCCTCTAGCTTCCCGAGCGCCGTGCGCCCGGCTCCCGGCCTGGCCGCTCCGGCCCCGCGCCGTCCCCACCCCTCTCCGGCCCCGGCTCGCGCGCCTCCACCCCGGCCGGTGACCGTCGGAGCTCTGCGCGTCTCATCTACCCTGCCCCCTCCCCCGCGCCCCTCTCCGGCGCCCCGTCCCCTGTCCTCCCTTCCAGTCTGACCTCACCTTTCCTCCGCTAAGCGGTTTGAGAGCCTCCGGTGTAAACAGGACTCTCCTGGGAGGCTGTTCCTCTCGGCCCCTCCCCTCGAGGCCCAACCGACTCTTGCTTCTCTCCTCCGACAGCTACTGCCTGTCTATTTTCTCCTTCCCTCCTTTCCTTCCATCTGAATCCACTCCTTCGTCCACTGGCCTTCAGCTCTCTTAGTCTGAATAGCCCTCCTCCAGCGTCTCCCCCCACGCTTAAAGAATCTTGAATTCCTAAAAACCAGAAGGGGGTCGGGAACAGCCTTCGAAAAAGCTGGGGCCCAGCATTGCATGGCATTGCATCGCGCTGCCCTTGCTCCCGTCAGCTCCCTCCCTGGCCCCATCCCTTCGGCCTTGCCTCTCTTCCAGCCTTTCTCTAATTTCCCTAGGGAACCTGCTGAGTGTCGCTTGGGGAAATTAATTCGGCCAGGGTTTGGGGGCTGGGAGCCCGACCTTGGGTGGGGGGTGATTGCTGAGGAGGTCACAGAGGTCTCCTGGAGGCCGGTGAAGTGAAAGGGGGAACCAATGGGATTCGAGGCAGTGGGAGAAGGGGCTCCGTGTGAGATCTGACAAGGTGTGCTGAGCGGCCCTCCGGTGGGCTGTGCGGTGGCATGTGACTTCACTGAGTAGGTGTCTTTGTATGTCTGAAATCCAGCGAGCGTGTGGGACTGCCCGTGTCAGTTACATGTGTGCGTGTGGAGACGTAGCTGTTCTGGAACCGTGTGGCTGCTTTGTGAGTGCCGAGTGGCTCGGCACTTGTGCTGTCTCGAGAGTGTGCCAGCGTGCCCAAGCACCGGGCCGTGCGTCTCCGGATCGCGTGGGCGCCCCTCTGTAGCTGTGCGTGTGAATCAGTGTCAGCCTGTGTCAGTGTGTGTGCCCGTGTTGAGTAAATGAGGCCAGAGAGCTGCCTAGCACAAGACCTAGGTCACATACCCTCCTGGAAAAGGGATCATGGAAGGACAGTGACCAGAAGGACAGGACCAGACAGGGGAGGAGAGGGCCCGGCCCCTTGGACTTTGGCCTCTGGTAGACTCCCTCCCTCCCTGGCACTCACTCTCCTTTCCTCCATCAACCCCGATGAGAAACTCAGGCCAGGGCCGTGCAGACCTGGTGCTGGGGCCCCCAGAGAGAAGCTGACGATCCCCTGGCTCTCCAGGCCCAGGATGTAGGGGAAAGCCCACCAGGTAGTAGAAATGCCACACCGACCATGTGGCAGAGAAATGAGGACAGCGAAGTGGCATGAAGAAACCTAGCTGGAGTGAGAGGGGCAAGCATTTTGCGCTCCCCATAAAGGGAGAAGGGAATTGAGCGTCCCTCCAGGCCAACCACCCAGCACCAAACCTCTCTCCTGTCCCAACCCTGTTCCAGAAAGGACACACCCTCCCAGGGTGATCTACTCACCCAGAAAACTTCCATCCCCATGGAATCGGATACACAGAGTTGCACACCAACACCAGATCCGATCCGATCACACAGAGACACCACAGTGCCTGCCAAGGGGTGGGGTAGAGAGAGGACTGGAATCTCAATTGGAAGGGCCGGTGTGGTGTCCCGAGAGAGGGGACTCCTGTGAGCACCTCCCTGGGCCACATCACACCAGGACAAGACATCAAAGGTGTGCCTGCTGGGGTCTTGGGAAGGAGAGAGGGGCCGTGTGGAGGGAGGGGACTCTACACAGGGACCTTCCCCTCTACTTTCCCATCCTGCCCACACAGACCTTGTCTGTCTCTTCGTCTACCAGGTCCCAGAGTCTTTCCCTTCCACGTTTCCCTTACCCTACTTCCCCTACATCCCCCCTGGCAACGGTGACTCCTACCCTTCTGCCACACCAGTGCACACACCACACCAGGGCCCACACCGTGCTGGTGCATGCACCATGGGTGGTCGGGAGGAGGAAGCCACCTGCACTGCCTGGGGGCAGGAGTGGGCAGAAGTGAGAGGGGGCACTGGGAGTCGTGCCAAAGGGGCTCTTCCTATTCCTGTAGCGTTGGGCCAGGTACGAGCCTGAGGATTAGGGGGGCACAAAGGCAGAAACAAAGGCTTTCGCAGCTGAGAGGGAAGCTGGGAGGGATGCCCAGGAGAGAGTACTCAGGAAAAGGCCCCAGAGGTAGACAAAAGGCAGAGCAGGGCCGGCAGAGGGAGGGGGCAGGCGAAGGAGGGACCTCAGAGGGGGTGGGGCATCAGGGCTGCGAGCAGATGGAGGGGATTTGCTTTGCTGAGCTGAACTCTTCAGCCGGTGAGGTTGGGCAGAACTTGGTGGGGGTGATGAGCGCTTACCTTGGCTGCCTCTTCCCGGGCTTCATCACTTTTCTCCTCTCTCGAGTCTTGGGGAAGGTGTCTGGTCTCAGCCCCTCTGTGGCTGTGAGGACCCTGGGACCTCTGTTCAGTCTCTAAGCCGCACCGCCCACTTTCTCCATCTCCCACTCCTCTAAAGTCACTGCAGAGGGAGAACCGGGCCTGGAGGGACTTAAGTAAGGGCTGCAGATCATTTGTGGTGAGAGGAAGGTGACCTGTCTCTCTCTTGCAGGACCTAAAGGAGAAGAAAGAGAAGGTGGAGGAGAAGGCAAGCCGGAAAGAGCGAAAGAAAGAAGTGGTGGAGGTGCAGAAGGGTCACCTGCCCACCGTGCCCCCAGCTCCCTTCCTGGGGGCCCGCCTTTCCCCGACCCCTCCCATCCTCGCCACCCCGCCCTCAGGCCCCTTACCCTTGGCGGGGACGGTGGGTGGAGGCACAGGGCCATCCTGACACCTCCCTCTCCTGTCCGCAGGAGGAGGAGAACGGAGCTGAGGAGGAAGAAGAGACCGCCGAGGACGGCGAGGAGGAGGATGAAGGAGATGAGGAAGGTGGGGAGGGGCAGGGAAGGCTGGGCTCAGAGGAACCGTCAGGGTGGGTTTGAAGACCTGAAGCAGGGCTGAGGGCCGCCACAGGGGGTCTCTGCTGGAGCTTCCAGCCCTTCCCCAATGACCCATTTCTGGCTCCTCAGATGAGGAAGAAGAAGAAGATGAGGACGAAGGGCCCGCGCTGAAGAGAGCTGCCGAAGAGGAGGTTTGGGCTGGGTTGTGGGCTGAGGGGCTGTCAGGGATGCAGCAGGGCCGGGAGCCCTTTGGATTTGGACCTAGATCCCAGTGGTGCAGGGCGGGGGCTGGAGCTGGAGCAGCACAGAGGGCGGTCCCTCTCCCAGGTGACGGCTACCGCAGCTCTTTCCCTCTCCACAGGATGAAGCGGATCCCAAGCGGCAGAAGACAGAAAATGGGGCGTCGGCATGAGCCCCCCGCCAGTGGGCTGGGGGTGGGAGGCCCCTCGGGGGCCTGGAGGTGAGGGTAGGGACAGCCGAGCACAGCCGCTCTTCACCTGGCTCCCTGCTCTGGGCCCCGCGCCAGAGCTGCCGCCCTCTCTCTCCCCAGCCTTCTCGTGCCGCCCCTCCACACACTGCCCCCTCCATCCTCACTGCCATCTTCCACCTCCTGACCTGCTCCATCTGAGCTCCCCAGCTGGTCCCCAGTGGCCCCCTCCCTCTCCCTCCTCTCTTCCTCCATCCCCGCAGCCAGCCCCACCCTCCTCTGGGAGCCTCTCCTTCCTAACCTCTGCATCCCAGCCTCACATCCTGCCCATCCCTACCCTGCCTGATCCCTGGGTCTCCCTCAGATCCCCTTCTCTCAGACAGCGCCAGGCCGGGGTGGGAACAGGGTTGGGGCCGAGCCCCACAGCTGCCCCCCTCCCCTCCCCTTTTTGTATAATTTAATAAAGAAACGGTCGCGCTTCTGTTTTTAACCTGCCTCCTGCTTACCCGGGCAGAGCGAGGAGGGTGGCCAATGGTACATTCTATCAGGACCCCTCCCCTCTATAAAAAATCGGCCAGCGGCACCCTCCTACCACCCACCCCGGGAGAAGACGAGAGCAGCAGCGCTCCGGGTGGACAGGGTGGGGGTGGGGCGGTGTCTTTGAGAGCTGACTCGCGTCTCGGTTTTGGATTCTTGGGGATGTTCCTCCCAGCCATACACACACCCTTCCCTGCTAACCCGCACCGGGCTAGACACTGCTGAGCCCAGTGGAAAGCTACCAGCCCTATTGTGCTGAACCAGGCAAAGAAACAGCCTCAGAAACAGGAAGTCCCGCCCCTGAAGTGGGAGAGGGCAGGAGACCTGGGTCTCAGCCTCTTTGGATGGAGTGAGAGTTGCCTGGCACTGAGCAGTGAGCTCCTTCCTGGTCAAGCAGGGAGAACTCCAGGACCTCTTGCGGCTCCAGGCCTAATGCAAGTTCTGGCTCCGCAGGCTGGGTGGCGTGGGGAGGAGTTCCCCTCTGGCCTCAGCCTTCCTTCCCTAGTTCTGCCTCAGGTTTTCCCGAGGCAGGATCCCTGCTGCAAGATGTCTGCATTTTTCCGTATCACCCTTGCCCTCTCCTAGTTCAGAGCCTCTGGATTGGGAGAGCCTGCTGATCACACAGAGGTCTGAGCTGTAGAGGGGTGTGTGTGATTCACTGATACCATTCATCCCCAAAGATGAGAAGACACCTGTAACTCACCCGGGGTCAGGGTCACACACACACACACACACACACACACACACACACACACACACACACACACACAGCTTTTGTCTTCGCACTCCCTACCTGACCTTTAATCTCTGAGCCTGCCTCAGTTTCCTCATGTGTACAATGGGGGATAATATTAGATTTCATGAGTTACTGTACACAAAGTGCCCACTACAATGCCCAGCACATAATGAAGGCACAAGACAGTGTAGCTATTCTTTTCCCTGTGTGTGGGGTGCCCCTCTTCAGACCTACCATCTCTTAGGGTACAGCAGAGCTTCTAGGAGTCATTGGATGGGTGGGGAGACAGGTAGACGAGGGTAATGAAGTTCTGGGAAGGTAAGGGAATAAGGGAGGGGATGAGTACCAAGGAAAGAACTTGCCAAGAACGTATGACTGGGGCCTGGGGAGGCAGCTCAGAGATGGGCAAGTGGGTAGTTCAAGGCAGAAGAGAAGGGCAGAAGTTCCTCAGGAAAGAGAACAGTCAGGAGGGTGGGGGAGGAGTGGAGAGGGCGGTGGGGACACCCAGGACTGAGGAAATAAACAAGGGGAGCGCCATCACAGGGGTGGAGGTAATGCTGCTGGGAATCAGCCCCCTCAGACTTTCCACTGCGAAGCGAAACCGTGAGCCCTGGGGTGCTGGGGGGGGCGACGGGGAGGGGAAGTGCGAAAGGTGGAGGGAAGACAGAAGGACAGGGGCCAGGGCCCTGGGAGCAGCAGAAGGGCCTCTAGCTCAAGACAGCCACCTTACCTCCACTCTGCTCTCTGCCAGCACCCTGCCCTATCCCCCGGGACCCCCACCCCATCCCTGACCGCACCCTCCGGCTGCCCGATCTGCCGGGCTTTCCTCTAGATTCCAGCCCCTGGTCGTTGGTTCCTCCCTCTCTCTCCAGGCCTCCATTCCTCTTTTTCTAGATTCTCTTTCTCCAACACCCTCTTTGCAGAACCCCTCTTGAACATCAGTCCTTCCCCACTTTCTGACCTCTTCCCTTTGGAGGGCTGTGTGGCCCAGGGCTCAGAGGAGATGTGGGAGGCTCGGTTCCCGGTCTGGCTGCTTCTGCAACTGCTGTGGGCAGCTGCAGGTAAGATGGGGACCACCCTCTGGGAGGGTTGACCTCCAGACCCACAGCAGGGGGTGAGGAGGGATTTCTCGATGACCACACAGAGATGCCAAGGCCCTTAGATTGGGTGGATTCTTCTAACGCCTTTCTTGGGGCAGTCCTTCAGCCCCCAAAGCCTCTCTTAGGTCTCCCCCTTGGCAGGGAAGGGGCAGAAAGCCAAGGTCTCCCTCAGCCCTGTTTCTCCCTCAGAAAACACTGAGGCTCCTTCTCTGCGTTGAAGTCTTTTGGCTCACGGCCCCTCCCCTTGGCCTCTCTTTTCCTCCCCAGTGGAGGCTCCAGACCCTGGGGCAGAGGTCCCGGTGGTGTGGGCCCAGGAGGGGGCTCCTGCCCAGCTCCCCTGCAGCCCCACAATCCCCCTCCAGGACCTCAGCCTTCTGCGAACAAGACAAGTCACTTGGCAGCATCTACCAGACAGGTAGGCACCCCAGACTGCAGCAGCAAGACCCCCAGCTCCAGCCGTAAAGGCGTGCAGACTTCCAGTCCCGGGCCCAAGCCAGCCCTCTGTGTTCTCCCCCGGAGCTGTCAGTCCCTCTGAAGCCAGTGGCTCAGCCTCCCCTGCCGCCCCCCGCCCCCCTCCCCGCCCTTCCTCCGCAGCCTGCCTCCCTCACACCTGCGTCCCCCAGCACGCCTGCCTGTCTCCGGTAGTGGATGGTGCTGGCCAACCGGAGCGGGGGACGGGACGGTTAGCAGTCCAGAGATCTTCCTTTGGGTGGGCTTCCTCATCCTCAAAGTGTGGTTGGACGGCCTCTTCCCCGGGGTTTCTTCCCCTCGCATTTCTCAGTCCCATCTCTCTCCCGCCCAGTGAGCCCGCGGCGCTCTCCCCGCGAGGCCCGGGGCCCCGCCGCTACACGGTGCTTAGGCTGGCTCCCGGAGGCCTGCGCGTCGGGAGGCCGCCCCTGCAGCCCCGCGTGCAGCTGGATGAGCGCGGCCTCCAGCGCGGGGACTTCTCGCTGTGGCTGCGCCCGGCCCGACGCGCCGACGCCGGCGAGTACCACGCCGCTGTGCGCCTCGGGGACCGCGCTCTCGCCTGCCGCCTCCGTCTGCGCGTGGGCCAGGCGGCGGGTAGGTGTGGCGGGGGGGGGGGGGGGGGGGGGGGGGGGGGAACGGGGCTAGGAGGAGGGCGCCCCATATCCCGCCGCCCCGGAGGAAGGAAGGGCTGCGCAGAGGCTGGCTGTGCTTCTAAGGATGCGTCCCAGGCCCTGCCGGAGAGCCCCGAGCAGAGGGGCGGAAGGGGCCGGCAAGCCTGCCTGCGGGGTGGAAGGTGCCCCCGGAGAAGCACGTGTGTGTAGGGAGGGCCGGGTGGAGAGATCGTATCACCCCTCGAGCTCCCCTCCCCGACCCACAGCGGGAGTGCCAGGGTGGAGGAGGGGATGCACCCCTTCGAGGGGGGAGCGCGGGGCTGGAGTGACTCCGTTGAGACATCTGTAGTCTGGAGCTCGGGGTGGCCTTAGTGGGGATCCTCGAGCAAGGCCTGGAGAAGGGGAAGCGTAGACCGAGCCCAGGGAACCGGAGGCAGGGGGCAGGGGAAGTAGGCAGGGGACTCCTGGGTATGCATTTTAAGCACCTCCGGGGCCAGGCCCTGGGCTGGGGGGGTGGGAGGACGGTTGGGAGAGAGAAGACAATGAGATCTACAGCCAGGTGCCTGTTTCCAGGAGCTTCCAGCTTAGCTGGCCTGATGTGTTGGGAAAGTGGGCCTGATCAACCTTCTCTGTCCTTGCGCAGTGACTGCCAGCCCCCTCGGGTCTCTGTGGACCTCCAGTTCCGTCATTTTGAACTGTTCCTTCAGCCGCCCTGATCTCCCGGCCTCTGTGCACTGGTTCCGGGACCCAGGCAGAGTCCCCGTTCAGGAGTCCCCCCATCACCTCTTAGCCGGAAACTTCCTCTTCCTGCCCCATGTCAGCCCCTTGGACTCCGGGACCTGGGGCTGCACCCTCACCTACAGAGATGGCTTCAATGTCTCCACCACGTACAGCCTCACTGTTCTGGGTAACTCCTCCAGTCTGCGTTCACCCTTGACCACAATCCCTTCCTGCCCCCCCTTCCCCCCGTCACCTCCCCCGGGCTTATGAGCCCCCAAACCAAGCTGATGGCACCTGTGATTGCTCTGGGCCTCACTGTCCCAGTCCTTTCTCTTTCTCTTTGCAGCCTTTCAGCGGCTTTTCCCTTCTAGCTTTTCCCTTGGTCATCCAGCCTCACTTGCCGCCCTTTGGTCTCCTATTGGCCCACGCACATTCGGGGGTTCTGAGCACCCGCAGTTCATCCACCTTATTCTGCTCCTTAGCACTCTTCAGAGCTGGACCACCTCCTTCACCCTTCCTCCTCCCTTCCCTGCAGACCTAGCGCTCCAGCCCCTTTGTAACTTGGGGCTCCCTTTTCTTTGCAGGCCTGGAGCCCCCAGTCCCTCTGACAGTATACGCTGGAGCTGGTTCCAGGGTGGAGCTGCCCTGCCACCTGCCTCCGGGTGTGGAGACCCAGTCTTCCCTCACTGCCACATGGACCCCTCCTGGGGGAGGCCCTGACCTCCTGGTGGCTGGAGACCATGGCAACTTTACCCTTCTACTAGAGGCTGTGGGCCAGGCCCAGGCTGGGACCTACACCTGCGGCGTCCACCTGCAGGGGCAGCAGCTCACTACCACTGTCACTTTGGCAGTCATCACAGGTCAGCCCCATGTGGGAAAGGACAGGAAGGGAAGGCTAGCTGGGCAAAGACTGGGCAAGTCCGCCTCATGATGCCAGGCCACTGGGCACAAGTTGCAGGGGGATGCCCCTTGTGGCCTCCTGTTTTTTCGCCCCCATATAACGAACAGAAACTGAAAACCTCCCCTGAGTCACTGGATGAATGTTCCACTCTTCCGTAAGGGACTCCCCTGCTCTGAATTGAGGGGAGGGTCAGAGAAGTTAGAAGGAGAGGTGGCAGAAGTTTGAATGGTTCAAGAGAAGTGGAATATAGTTCAAGAACCCGTGTCCACTTTGGAGCCAGGGCCTGGGTTAAAGTCGCAGGAAGTGGCCTGGATTGGGGAGGAATGAATAAATCCGTCCCTTAGTCAGCAAATATTTACTGAGCGAGGGCTTTTCAAGACAGTATAAAACAAACATAGAAGAAAAAAACCAAACAAACTCAGAAGGTATGTGCTGATTGATCGGTAACTATCACCGCTTGGTTGTGTCTGCCGTACTCACCTATGCCACTAAATAGCTCCACAAAGTAGGCACTTAATAATGTACATTGGTTGAATGAATAAATGAATCTGCCAACAACACATCTCCTGAAGACCAGTGCTGGATTTCCACCTGCTTCCCAGGTATCTCTACGTAGATATGGTACCCACACCTCAGCCTCACTCTGAGCCCCATCTTTTCCTCGCACCCAGTCCTCTTGCTAAGTCACCTTCCCGTCAGCCACTCGTGTCCTACTCATCCTCAACTTCCTCCTTCCCAGTCAGTTACCACAGCCTACCAGTTCTTTCTGTCCAAGGTCTTCTTGAGGGTCCACTGTCGAGTCCGTTTTCCAAGCTATCTGCATGACACCTCAGTGGGAGAGAGATTGTTGTCCCTGTTTTACAGAGAAGGAACTTTCCCAAAGTCACAGAGCTGGGAAGTGCTAGACTTGGGGCTAAACTCAGGTGTCTGTGCCAGCAAACCTTCAGGGGCCTGTACGCCATGCTCAGCTCCAGGCCATTCATCCATTTTCTCCTCCTGCCCATCCCCACCGCACAGCTTCGAGTTGCTCTGTCCCTAGATCGGTTGATCTGTCCTCTAGACATTCAGAAATGGGGCTAGAATGCATTTGGGGGACACAGATGTGAGCCACAGCATGGAAGCAGGAAAAGTGCAAGGTTTCCGGGAGGCCAGCTCACCTGAACGATGGGGGGGGGGGTGGTTCTGAGCGTTTGAGTAGAAAGTCATGGAAAGGAATCTGAAATATTTGTCACGTGATCCTTCGGGCCATCCCCCGAAGGCAGTAGGGAGCCTGGAAAGTTTGGGGGCAGCAGAGTGATCTGACCAGAGCTTTGTCTTGATAAGATTAACGTGGCCATGACCCTGATCTCCTCCCCTCCACCTCACCCAATCAGAGCCCAGGTGAGTCAAGGCAATTGCGACTTGGGAGTCGGGCCTAGGCTTTCATGTAAGGGGGTCGGGGCCCCCAAAGATCTCTTTCCTTTAATTTTTTCAGTGACTCCCAAATCCCATGGATCACCTGGCAACCTGAGAAAACTGCTTTGTGAGGTGACTCCGGCATCTGGACGAGAACACTTTGTGTGGAGCCCCCTGGACGAGCGGTCTCGCAGGACCTCCGCAGGCCCCTGGCTGCTGATGCCGGAGGCCAGGCTCCTTTCTCAGCCCTGGCAGTGCCGTCTGTACCAGGGGCAGAGGCTTCTCGGGACCGCCGTATATCTCACTGAGCTGTCCCGCCCAGGTCCGAGACCCCACAGCGCCATAGCCCCAACTCCAGACCAGTCACCTCCATCCCACTTCCAGACCTCCTCCCCACACCGCGCTCGCTCTTTCTCTCCAGTCAGGGAGCTGACCTCCAGCTCCTGTCTAGGCCTGACCCACTTCTGCCAATAATTAGCTGAGTGACCCTGGACGAGCGCCTTAAACTCTCCGGGTCTCATTGCCGGTAACATGTGGGGGTGTGGCAGGGTGTCCTTCCGGCCATGACCCTATGGCTCTTGCAATCCTGACCTCTCTCCGTAGGCGCCCAACGTTCCGGGGCAGCCCCGGGGGCCTGGGAAACAGGCCGCCTTCCTCTCCTCATCCTTGGGATCCTCTTCCTCCTCGTGTTGGTGACTGGAGCCTTTAGCTTTCACCTTCGGAGAAGACGGGTGAGCCGGGAGCCCCCCTCCCCAGTCCTCGGTGTGCTGTCTGGCACCCCTTCCTCACGTAGATGAGCAAGGTTGACCCCTGAACTTGCCCTCAGAGCCCCCTCTCCATGAGTCTCTGCACTCCAGGGACCCCTTGTGCCTGAAGGAACCAAAGGAGGGGCTGAGGGAAGGCCTGGGACCATATGGGCAGGGAGGGGCCTGGGAAGGAATAGCTTATTCCCTTTCCCTTCCCCCTCCTCTTCCTCCTACCCTCTGTGTCTGTCTTCCCACAGTGGCGACCAAGCAGATTCTCTGCCTTAGAGCATGGGACTCACCCACCTCAGCCTCAGGGCAAGACAGAGGATCCGGAGCCGCAGCCGCAGCTGAAGCAGCCCTGAGCTGGAGCCGGGCAGCCCCTGCATCTCCGCACTTCAGTGCAAATAAACTCCCCGTCAGCAGCAAGCCTGAGTCCGGCCCCTTCTTGCCCAGGGAAGGTTCTGCCTCTCCCCAGCCTCTGGGCTCCCTTCTCACACCCTGGCCTTCTGACCTACTTTCCCCAGGCAGTCGTGCATCTTCCCCTTTTCCGTTCCTGGTTTCTTCGTGATTCTTTCTTCCTGGTGTCTGTCTTGCTCTTTCTTTCTCCTGGGGAGTCGTTTCCCTGAAGGTCCGGGCAGCCCTCACCCCTCACCCCTCCAGCCGTCTCCTCCGTCCTTCTGCTCACGCTGCTCCGGCTGCCCGGTTTCCTTTATATTTTGCCCTCAGGCCCACCCCACGCACGCCATACCTCAGCACTGTCCTTGGCCCTCTGGCGGCAGCGCACGCACGCGCGCACACACGCACACACACACACACACACACACACACACACACACACTCAGCCCTGCCGGGTCGAGTCCTCCCGAGATGGGGTCTCGCAACCTTTCTGGGTGGCAGCCTCCGCCTCACCCCTATATTCCGCAGCCCTGGGCGACCTGTCTGGTCGCAGGCACGAGCGCACACTGCCACCCAGTGGTCTCTGTTTGTCACACACCACAGGGTCACAGGGCAGGCTGAGGCAGATTAGCAGTGTGGGGACCGGGGACCAGGCAGCCCCGATGCCCCGTGGGCTGGCTCTACCTTTGTGACTGCACTCTCCGTGGTCCGCGCATGAGAGCGCACCCAGCAACTGTCTCCCGCCCTGTACACCCTCAGGACAGATCACCCTGGCCCTGGCAAAGTTATGATCCAAGTCTGACACAGGGGAGTCCTGGGGACAAAGTGCCCCACGTGGGGAAGAGAACAGACACCCAGACCCTGGCTGCTGCTAACGCCTCAGGAGTCCGGACCCCTGGCTTCTGGTCCCGGCTGTGCTGATGTGACCAGAGCTCGTCTCCTTGAGCCTCAGTTTCCTCATCTACGAAATGGGACCAGGAGGATAATGCACCCAAAGGGGTTGTGCAGATATGGGATAATACGAGGGCTTCGAAATCTGTGGGTGTGCTGAGCATCCATTCGTGAAGGAGGAGGAGACCCACGAGCCTGATCGCCTCCTTGCTCTGTCTGTCTGTCTCTCTAGGAGGGAACATTTCTCTGGGTGGGGCAGACGGTGCTTTAGCAGAGCACACACACACACACACACACACACACACACACAGGGACCCAGCCCTCCGCCTGCAGTGTTTGCAGGGCTCTGGACTTGGGCTGAGGGAGCTGTCACCCTGGACTGGAGGGAGAACACACTGCAAGTGGGTGGGAGCTGGTCTACAGGCGCCAATGGGGGGGTGCACAGACACAGGATGTGGCAAAGGCCCTGCCACTGTCCCCCGAGCCTGTGTGCTGTGTGCAGTGACACAGACACGAACCATGAAGCTGAAGACCTGCCCCGTGGAGACACAATGGCCAGAGACTTGGGGACAGAATGGGGAGAGGAGCACCTCCATTCCGTGCAGAGCCCTGGCGGGGAGGGGCCGGAATAATGACCCATTTGAGGCCATCTGAGGTTCCCAGCCTTAGGATGGTGGTGACCCTTGTCTCGTCATAGGCAGGGACACAGGGGCACAGAAAGGAGGCTCTGGGGCTCGCCAGGGACGGTCGCACTGTAAGGGAAGGCCTGAAGCCCCTCTGAGCGGCCTTCAAAGCACTATCTACCCCCTTTGCTGTGGGCTAGGGGCGCTGCCAAGGAGACTCCTTAGCTCTGCCCACAGCCTGCTCTCCACAGCTGTGGTGAAAGCCACCAGGCTTTAATGGAGCAGGGGTTTCCTGGAAAGTTCTGTGGGTGACATTCTTCCTCTCTACGAGGTGACACCCTCTGCCCTTTGGGCTTCTGAGAGGAGTCACTGAGGATGCACAGGCTCTGTGCAGGGACGTCCCCGCGCTCATGCACAAAGGGGACAGGGAGGGGACAGAGGCCACCTGTTCCTCCACCCACTGAGGAAGAGAAGAGCAGAGAGCGGAAGGAAATGGGGGCAGGGGGCTTGTGTATACGGTGCTCCTTTGATTAATTCTCGGTGCTCCTTTGATTAATTCTCGGCCTGTCTCTGTGGGATCTCTCCTGGGGGCAGGGTCACTTTCCTGCTCCTGCCTCTCTGGCCCTGAACCCCACTCCCAATCCAGCAAGAGAACCTCCAGCCCTTTCCGTGTCCTCTTAGGGTCCAGGGAGTGAGATCAATTCATCCTGTTTCACCAAGTTTATCTGCAAACTGACATTCCAGGTTGGGGTCCTGGAGGGGAAAGGGTGGCAAGGAGGCAGGGAGCTCATGGGGGTTGTGGGGAGGGGGAATCGTCTTAGGTCCTCGTTAAAAAGGAAGGGAGGGGAGCACCCTAGTGGCCTAGTGGTTAGGATTCCGGGTTTTCCCCCCTGTGGCCTGGGTTCAAGTCCTGGTAGGGAACTGAGATCCCACAAGCCGCGCGGCACAGCCAAAAAAAAGGGAAGGGGGTGTATTAGTTATTTACTGCTACGTAACAAACCACCCCCAAACGCAGTAATGTAAGAGAGTAAAGATATTATCTCACAAGTTCAGGAATCTGGAAGCAGCCTGGCTGAGTAGTTCTGGTGCGGGTCTCTTACGGGGGTTTCTGCCACGATTTGGGCCAGGGCTGTAGGCATCTGAAGGCTGGGCTGGGCTGGAGGATCTGGTGGTGAAAAGTTCCCTCAGGTGGCTGCCCGCCAGGGGCGTTGGTCTCTCCCCACGTGGGCCTCTTCACAGGGCTGCCCATGACCTAGCAAGACGAACACTACCATGTCTTTACAACCTAATCTGGAGAGTGACATGCCATCCCTTCTGCCGTTTTCTGTTGGCCACAGAGCCCATGCTCGTACAGTGTCGGGGACAGCATGAGGGTGTGAGGTGAAGGCAGCAGCAATCGCGGGGGCCATGTTGCACCCCACTATCATGGTGGGGAACAGTGCCCGAAAGAGACATAGGCCAAGAGGGGGAAGAGGCCTCTCTGAGGACCTCCACCCCCAGCCCTGCCAGGGACCTGACAGCCTCCTCCAGAAGTTCTGGAGGCCAAACGAGGTCCAGAGCTTTGCCCAGTCCAGCGTGTCAGGCAAGAGGCCATACTGTGCGCCTTCAGGCCTGTGGTCACCGTTGCCGGTGTGTCCCCCACCCCTGATCTGGTCTTCTCATCTCCACGGGGCAGGGCAGCCCCACAAAGGTCCCAGCCTCACCTCCCGCAGCAGCCAGGGTACTAGGCCTGGGCTCCTGCTGTTACCCCTCCCCCAAAGGAGGTGCGCTTAGCTTTCCCTGCTCGGGCCCACCCCAAGGTGGGGTTCGACCTTTGAAGGGAATGAGTTTCGGGTGGGGATGGGTTCTATCTGCTCCACTCTGTGGCTGACAGTTTCTCCAGGGCCTGCAGGTGCCAGCTGGCTGAGCCCAGGCTGGGCTCTGAAATTTGCCTGCTCATACCTCCCATGGGGCGGGAGGCCTTGCAACCACCCTCTGGGAGTTGTAGAAAGTGGTCGTGGAACCGGGGGGAATGTGGCCTGGGTGGAGGTGACTCAGCCCTGCAGAACTCTGCTTCCCAGAGAACAGCCTCTGTGCCCCTCTCCCCTCCCCCCCCCCCCCCCCCCCCTCCCCCCCCCCCTCCCCCCTCCCCAAGCCCCACTCGCACCCGCTTTGCCGAGGCTGTGGAGGGTGCCACTGCAGCTGCTCTGGTGAGGAGGCCACCACAGGACTGCACCTGGGGCTTCCAACCTCCCTGCTCCACAGGCGGCCCCACCCCTCCTCCCACAGCCTGGTCCCCAACACTCTGTCAGCAGCCTGGGTGCTGGCTACCCTCTGCCTCCATCTCTTGCTCCCCCCCGGTCTACCCCCGCACCTCCAGCCTGGAGACAAAATACACGCGGCAAAAATAGCTTTGTCTCAGGAACCAGGAGACTTCTGGAAACCCCCATGCTCCGTGCCTACTGTCATATAATGGGGCAGAGAGCTTAACTTCGGTTTCTTCTTCTGTAAAATGAGGATAGTAATACGTGCTGAAAAGGTCTGGCATATGCTAATGTATGTGACAGTGCTTTGAAAATGGAAAATCTCTCTCTAGATGTGAGGGATCCTGGTGACGCCAAGCCTCAGAAGCCCCAGATGAGGTCACTGGCCTCCTACCCCCTCCATTGCTGTGGGAGAAGACTTCCCGCCGCCTCATCCTGACCTTTCTTTTTTTTTTTAATTGAAGTATAGTTGATTTACAATATTATATTAGTCTCAGGTGTACAGCATAGTGATTCAATATTTTTATAGATTATACTCCATTTAAAGTTATTACAAAATGATGGCTATATTTCCCTGTGCTTATTTATTTTATACATAGTAGTTTGTATCTCTTAACCACCTACCCCTATCTTGCCCTTCCCCCTTCATCTTGGCCTTTCTTTTTTAATTTATTTTATTTATTTATTTTTGGCTGCGTTGGGTCTTCGTTGCTGCGCACCGGCTGTCTCTAATTGCTGCGAGCTGGGGCTACTCTTTGTGGCGGTGCGCGGGCTTCTCACTGCGGTGGCTTCTCTTGTTGTGGAGCACGGGCTCTAGGCACACGGCTTCAGTAGTTGTGGCACATGGGCTCAGTAGTTGTGTCTCTTGGGCTCTAGAGCACAGGCTCAGTAATTGTGGCGCACGGGCTTAGTTGCTCCACGGCATGTGGGATCTTCACGGACCAGGGCTCCAACCCGTGTCCCCTGCATTGGCAGGCGGATTCTTAACCACTGTGCCACCAGGGAAGTCCTCCTAGCCTTTCTTACTGCAGAGGAGAGGCAGTAGGGTGAGGGGGACCATCCAGGGACTAGGGGCCAAGCAGGTAAGTTCAAATCCTAGTGCCATCAGGGGTAGTTACCAGCTTTGCGACTGTTAGTGATTCTCTTAAACTTTTCGGGCCTCAGTTTCCTCATCTGTATGGTCTGGAAAATAATACTTATGCCCGATCATTGCTGTAAGGATTAAATAAAATACACAACCATATAAAGCACACAGCAGTTCTACATGTTCAAT